GGATTAAGTTCGTAACTAGAGGTACCACTGTACTGCATTCAGATTCTGGTTGGGGTTGCTTTGCTTATTTTGAAATTGGAAAACTAAACTACTTAAGTTTGTTAGTTGAATTTCTGTTGTACAGTTGCATTCTTTTTAGTAAAATCATATGTGAACAGCATGCTTTATTAGTGGAATTTTGGAGCACAGCGTGATTGTTATGGCCACTTTGACCAACTAGCTGTTGGTAGTTTGAATTCCAGCTTTCACTTCAAGAAAAATCTCTGCTTTTACTTTCAGACAAATTTTAAGTGCTGAAGATTGAGTTGAAGAATGAGACTATTCAGCAGTCCTATAAATATCCTTTCATAAGAATACTCAAAAGTAGTAATGAATTTAAGGTATTTAATGTTTAATGTATTTCAGGCACAAGGATTTTGGTTAAAAGTAAAGAACATGGAATGTGGTGCCGTGCAGAAATCATTGAACTAATTCCACTCCTGAATACAAATGACGGGAAACCCTGGGGCCCAACAAAATACAGAATTTGTGATATTGCAATTATGAAAGTATTCCTTATAGACTTCGGGCATCCAGAAGCTTTAATTGTTTCAGGGTATGAATAATTTTAAATATCTTTTGTTCAAATCTACCATGTTTAGATTTTCCCATTTTTTGTAGCTATAAGCTAGTTTTGAATTTACCATTTCTGCCCAAAGTGATTTAGCAGATGGTGGTTGAACAAATGCTTCAGGGTGAATTTGATTTTCTGAATCTGTTTCTGGCTGGAGCATGATATGGAGATGTCATTGGTTATCCTGATGCACAATGTGTTGATAGAATGTAATGGGACATAAGCAGATGACACCCATGTCTTCTTTCCCCTTCTATAAGTGTGTTATGTTCTCTTATTGGCTCCCACTTCAACCAGATTGTGGAGCCCTTGGGAAAAATCAGGTTAAAACTGAATCCAGATAAGTCAAAGGATAGGGAATTTTTTTCTAGTAGAGTGGGGGTTTTATCTGCATTAGAAGAGGTCACACTCCCAAAGCAGTACCTGTGCAGATTGAAGATTGAAGAACCTATACAGATCTTTTGCACTGTGCTGTCCTTTCAGATGGCTACTATTCATGTGCTGGTTATTTTCCAGTTAGATTACTGATATTTTATTCTATGTTATTTATTTAGCTTGTATTCCACTGCAGCCAAAAGACTCTCAGTGGCTTACACGATAGAAACATTTAAACAATAGGTTTCAAAAGTTAAGAAAGAACAAACCTCAGTCATTATAAAAATAACGCAAGCTCAATAAACTAAACTAAAATAAAAATCACCCCAAACTGGCTAGAATACAACTTGATCTTCAGCATTTTCCTAAATGCAGTCAGGAATTGTGTTAGAATATTGCAACCAAGAAGCAATACCTTCTCGCTTTAGTGCCCTTAATTTCCCAGAAGTGGAACACTAGGAACATTTGTACTCTAGATGATTTGATAGGCTGATACATGTTGGAGCAACTAGTCCTTCAGGTGTCAAGCCATAAAGGGCTTCAAAGATCTTATAGATTTTATAAATTATGTCTAGAAAGTAATCAGTTGTTACAGTGGAACGCCCTTGAAGAAAACGTGGACTTCTGCAGTTGGTCCAGAATATGGCATCCAGGCTTCTGCTGGATTCTTCCCATTGGAAGCAGATCATGTGTTCCGACAAACGTATGCCGGTTACCCATAGTTCACTGGGCTGCATTCAGTTTGCCTATGTTTACATATAAATCATTCCTAAAGGAATGGCATTCCTCTGTGATGTGAATTGGGAACTCCAGTTGTCCTCTGGATATTGTGGGTTTGCCTGAAATTGACTAGGAGTAGGGAGGGCACCAACTTCATTGAAACCTCTTCCCTTAGAAGTTTAGGCTGCTTTCTCCCTGGCTTGTTTTACATGAATAAATGTTATTTATAAAAGATATAATGTTCATAATGAGTATAATATTTTAGAATGTATTTGGGATTCTTGGATTTCACTGTTGTTGTTTTGCTTTTATATTGTAAACCATAGTGAGCTGGTTCAGCCTAGAGTAAGCAGAATAGAAATCTGTTAAATAAATAGTGCTTATACAGGTAGTCCTTGACCATGACCGTTCAGTCAGTAACCATTTCAAGTTACTTTATTGTTATTTATTTATTTTATTATTTCAAGTTACTTTATTTATTATGGAGCTGAACGAACTGGTCCTTGGAGTTCCGGCTGTCCCAGCACCTCCACGGTCACACAATCGCGATCTGGGTGCTTGGCAACCCATTCACACTTAGGACCAGTTACCAAGTGCCCTGTGATCGCCATTGGCAACCTTCCCTGCTGGCTTCCCCAGAAAGTCAATGGGAAAGCCACAGGGTAGGTTGCTGGAATAAATCTCCCCTCCCCACTCACCCTCTCCCAGCCCCTCTGCATTTGTGCTGCATCAGCTACTTGCACACCTTCCCCGACATGCGCATCTTGTGCACCCCCCACACCCTTGTGTACCCCCTAAACCTCCCCTGCACACACACACAACCTGCACTGTGCCTTGTACACCCTTCCTGACCCACACTGCACTTCTCGCGCACCTCTCCAGCCCTCCCTCTCAGCCTCCCCCACCTCTCCTATACTCTGCGTACACCCTCACTCCCTCCCCTGCCTGGCAGCAGCCACTTACCTGCCTGCTGAATTTGGTTGTGGGAAGCTGGCAGGAAGTTGTCTCACCTAACCCCCAAGAGATTCAATTAACAACAGCAACTGGGACTGCAGAGATTGCTTTACAACCACATCGCTTAGTGATGAAAATTCCAGTTCCAATTGCTGTCATAAGTCAAGGACTATCTGTATCTCTTTCATACATACACGTGTATATATACAGTATATCTATCTATATAGGGAAAAAGTATGGTGTTTCAAACTACACAATTAAATAATATGTGGGTTTTTTCTTCTGCCATCAGAGTACCTAATGAAGTTACTGTGAATCCAGAACATGTTACTCTTGAATACATAGTGATTGAAGATCTATGTTTGGTTGTAAGAAAATTGAATTTATATTTAGAGGCTCAGCTCAGAGGTATAAGCAAGCTAGCCCTACAGTGTTCACTAAAGGACATTGTTCCTAAGCATTCAGTAAGTGACAATTATATTGGCTGTTTTTTTCCATTTTTTACTTAAATGCCTTTTTTTATAACTTGTGTTCATCTCATTGATTTTCTTCCCTTTCTCCATAATAAATTTGTGTTCTTCATAGACATCGAGGGATTTTTGATACTTTATAGATGAGGATGGGGACATAGATGTCTTGAAGCAAGGGGAACCAATATACTTAATATTCTAGAGCTTTCTGGAAGGATTCCCTTTAATCCAAATATTTATGAGTACTGTATGCAATATTTTCTTAAGGTTTGGTTTAAGGTAAACCATATTTCATAGGCATTATGCTTCTAGAAACTATGAAATGAGAGTGTACTTTTGAAACTGTATTCCAAGAAAAGAGAAAAGAAAAAGAAATGAGCAACTATTAACCACCGTTTGTGTTATACTTAGAAATAGTGGTTTGAGTTTTGTGATTAATATAAATCATAATGGAGCATGATGTCTAAATTGAGCGTTTGGGAATTTTATCTCTAGTTCACTGGTAGTTGTGAGCTTATTTTGGTGACTTATCTAAGCACTCTAACACAAATAAAATCCAGTAATACCCTTCTATCATTGGAAACTTTTTCCATTGCTGGAACACGAAGGAGTGGTTGGCACTTCATTTGTAGCCTCTGGGCACTTTAAATCCTACTCTGGAGGGTACTTCAACTTCCAGAATAGATTTGGAGGGCATAAAGAGGCTGGGGATGGAGGAAAAAGGATTTTGCTGCCAAGGTATTAGGCAAAACATCTTAAAATAACTTCATGTATCTTTAGAATAGCTTCTTGTTGTCTACCGTTGCTTAAGGGGTGTGTCACTTTGGTTCTAAATTAGTTTGAAAGCATTGTAAGTTTACATAAAACTGTACATATTTTTTGGCATCACATTTTTGTGGTTGGCCAGTTAAACTTAATATAGCCTCATCCTTCACTGATTTTATCTTGAATATCAAGTATTTAGTGCTCTGAACTGAGAATGCTTAGGATAAAAGCATTCTGCAAAAGAGGTACTCAGTTAAAAACAAAAAATCACAAAGCTACAAGTTTGCCTCCGAGAACCTCCTCCGTCTCATTACATAAGATGACCATAATTACCGTTGCTGGAAGATCCTACTGGCTGAGCTGTGAGCAAGCTGGCAATTCATCTAGGGCAAATCTGGCCAACTCAGTATTTGAAAGATCTCAGTTCTTCAAACACAAAGATTGGAAGGATTTCCTGATGAAGATTGAAGACTCAAAGCCATGTCTTCCATTCTTAAGGGAAACGATAAGAGAACTAAAAAAGAATCCTTTAATTGTCAAAGAAATCCCTTTCAGTCTTCTTAAATGAGGTACTGATATACAGTGGTACCTCGGGATACGAACTTAATCCGTTCCGTGACTCTGGATGTATCCCGA